GTGGCCTTCCAGCCCAGATGCAGGAGGCTGACCATTACAGAAAGCTTTGAACATTGTTGCTTAGCTTCGGATCTGCAGACAACAAAGTTGCAGTGGAAAATTCCCCAGCTACTCCCTCCCCAAAGACCCGGGCTATAAAACTTTCCACCTCTGGCCCGGACAGCGTGATTTCGTGGGTCCCCGGCTGGGGATCCGTAAACCTGGCCCAGGAGCTCGGGATGCTCCTGTCCCTTTCACTGTACTCCCCTCCCTCCGGGCGGTGGGGCTTCTCTGGCTCCGTTTAGGGACCCGTGAACCTCACCTGGGAGCTGTGAAATAAACCTTGGAAATCGTTTTCTGCCTTTGCCTTTTTTTCTATCTTTAAATCTCTCTCTCTTTTCTTTCTGTTGCCAAATCTACCTTACAATCGATCTTCACTGTTTTGAAGTGAGACAAGAAAACAGTCTTGAGGAGAAAGACAACTGTACACGCTTGGACAGTGTTACTATTAACCTGGTAAACGACAGCGTCATCGGCATTGTCTTTGGGAATCCTATTACCAAACTCCGAGAACACTCAGAAAAGGGTTAGAAACCGGTTCTCTGCTTTGACTTGTCAGCGGTTCAAATACCACCCTTTTCACGAGCGGGCACTGACGACTTGCTGTGAGCTGTGACGGGGACTCGGTGTGGTGGGCCTCTGTCATCTGATCACGTGGACAATGTGTCCGTGTCTGAGCGCTTCAGAGACGCCTGTGTGGCCTGCCCCTCGCTCTGCGGCTGCTCTCCTGCAGCAGACCGGGCACACAGTTGAACAGTCCAGAGTGACGCTCCTTTCTCTGCTTGGTCCAGCAGTGGTTTGGTTTCGTTTGTAAACGCAAACAAAGGCCCAGGGAGAGCGTGGTTTATGAGGTCCTTGTTCTGGTTTTCTGTAACCGGGTATAACCTCGGGCCTAGGGGCCTGTGTTCCCCAGTCGTGGCTTGGGGCCATCAACCCTTTGGGCCCAGAACACACCCACTGCCAGAAATGTCGAGTCTGAGCCGGAGAGTGGCCAGGGCCCTTTGGGCCACTTCTGCAGACAGAGCACTGCCTGCTCTCCCTCGCTGTCACTCGCCCGCACGGAGTAACAGGGTGAAGGGAAGCCAGGATGAACGCACCTGGTCCATGGGGTGGGGGGACACTGAGGGCCCCACCCCTGGACTCCCGCTCTCGGGCCGCATTGCCCCTCCTCAGCTCTGGTCTGCTTGCACAGAGGTTTCTGTGCTGCGGAGCGGCGGGCAGCGCTTTTGCATATGGAAGCCCTGGCAGGGGGCTGCCCATGCCAGCTGAGGGTCACCTGCCTGCTGCTGCAATTGTGTGTAATCATCGATTCAGTCTGTTCCACCCAGCAGGCCTCAGATGGTCATCACAAGATAGCACATGGGAGGAGCACATGCCAAGGGTCGGCCTGCTTATCCGAGTCTGGAAGCTGCCACCCAGGTCTGCCTGCTTGTCTGAGTTTGTTCGCTGCTGCCTCACTCCTGTGTCTGAGAAGCATGCGTCCTAGCAACGGTTGGCCCTCCCTGTCTGCGTGCTGTTTGTGAAGGCGCTGGAGGGCTACTGCTCTGACCTTGGGAAAAGCCCCGAAGGTCGCCAGCAGCTGTCAGCAGGCTTGTGTTGTCAGCCTGTGCCCCGTCATGCCGCTCTGCGGTTTCCTGAAGGCATGGGTTGCACACGTCCCGTGTGGCTGTTCGCACAGGGAACTTGGAAAGCAGGGCCCCGCAGTTGGGTCCCTCTTGTCATGCCTGCTTGGGGGGCGTTGAGGAGCCCTGGTGGTGCCCTGGGTAAGGCGTTGGGCACCTCACCCCATGGCCGGCCAGCAAAACCCCCCAGTCTCTTTGCGGGAGAAGCACAGGGCTGTCTGCGCAACAAGGATGTGCAGGCATGGAGCCCGGCTGAGCCGCGGGGTGGGATTGACTTGGGGCAGTGTGCTGGGGCTAGGGTGTTAAGCCCACAGGGTGGCGGGGATGAGGGGCAGGAGAGTTGGAAGACGCTGCAGTGACATGAGAGACAAAGGGGTGAATGGCCACTCAGGAAGGCCGGGCCGAGCCAGAGTGCACACATCCGGGAACAGGTCACTGCGCTGCGTGACTTGGTGGCAGATTCGTAGAGAGCTGCTGTGTGACCAGGCTCAGTTGCAGCAAGGCTTCTGGTGCTGGGCCTCTGGAGGCTTACCAGCTGGGTTGGCTGTAACGGCCCAGGTTCGCACCCCCAGTAGACCGGCTGTGCAGACCAAGGGTCTCCGGGTGACCCTGTCCCTGGAGCTGTGTGTGTTTCCTGTGTGCATGGGGACACACCTCCCTCCAAACCATAGGTTCCTAGTCGCATTGGGCTGATGCCCCCACCACCCTCCTGTTCTGTAGCCTGTCGTCTGAGGTGAAGTGCAGGGTGTGCAGGAGCCGTGGTGGGTGCTCCATGCAGTGCGAGCCACAGGGTCGACAGTTTGAAATGGCCAGCCACTGAAGAAAGGCCCACAGGGGCAGCTCTGTCCTGTCCTGTGGAGTTCCCGTGAGTCTGCCTTTTGAACCTGCCTTGGCAGCCTTCCTGGATGGTTCCCCGGGGTGGGACACCTGGTTTGCAGGCACGTTCCTTTACTGATGCTGCAGACTCGTGTACGCACGCTGATAGGGGCTGTGCTTGTAAACCTGCGTGTTTGACGGTCAAACCCTAACTCTCTGTCTCTCCTGTAAGCGGAAAAGAGAAGTGCCGGGAATCACGGGCGGCAGTCTTGACGACACGACCTGCTCCAGCACCAAGACGGACGAGACTCCCCAAGGCCGTTGTAAGTGCAGGTGCCGTGGTGCTCCCGTGTCCCCCTCCGCATGCGGGACATGTTAGGCAGGAGGCCACACACCCAGGCTGGGTGCTGCACGCTGTCCCTGGCCATATGCCGAGTGGTCACAGGGACAGACACTGAGCAGTGGCACAGCAGAGCCACATCCCAATTCTGCAGTCTGTCCACTTCCTCCTGCTGACCCCTGACTCCAGGGGATGGTCAGGGTCAGGCCGTGGCTTCCACTGGATGTCTCAAAGCTCGTAGAGCGAGAGCATGTTGCAATGCCGAGCTAGGTGCCTCTGAAGCTCAGATGCTGTGTGGGGGGAGCAGCTTGTGGAAAGGGCACACTGGCTGGGCTCTGGCCTGTGGCTGAGCGGCCTGTCCTGTAGGTGGTCACCCGGGGTACGGGGCCAGTCCTGACTGGCAGGCACACCTGTGGGCAGCTCAGCAAGAGAAGAACAGGGTCCCCCTCTGTGAGAAGCAGTACCAGGCTTTCTGGTTTGTTTCCTTTTGTGATTTCCGCTTACTTGCCCTCTGTGACTCTTGGCCTTGGTGGGGTAGTGGCTTTGCAAGTCAGCTGTTTGAAACCACCAGTCTCGCCTGGGGACAAAGATGAGGCTTTCTACTCCCGTGAAAAGTTAGTCTTGGAAAGCCATAGGGCAGTTCTACTTTGTCCTCTGTGGTCGCTAAGAGTTGGCAGCGACTGGATGGTGGTGGGCGGGGTTTGGCTGGTGTTCATTACTTGGTTGGCCCTGAAGCGACTCGCGATCTCTCACTGGGGGAGTACACCAAGGGCAGTATCTTTGGAGGTGGCTGTCCCCTTCCGTGGGCTCCTGCTTTTGGAAAATGGCGACCACAGCGAGTCCGCTTCACTCCTGTGTAGGCCGAGCACCACTGCCTTCTCCAGGCCCTGCTCTCCCCTTGCCCTGCCAAGGCCTTAGGGGATTGGGCCACGGGCTGACCCTACAAACAGCCCTGTCCCGGGAGCTGCCCGTTTGTCAGGACAAAGACCTCCCATCTGCCCAGGTCTGAAGGGAGCGCAGTGGGCGGGGTGGGTTCGGCTGTCATCTGCGCCTGAACGTTGCGTGGAAGGCACCAGACGCATGGGATTTGATGCCTGAACAGTTTCAAATTGTGCTTCCTTAAGACACATGATTTTTACACCTGCAATTTATTGATGACAGAAGACCCATAGGTGATAGAGACCAATTCAGACTTTTAGACCTTATTTTCAAAAGATTATTCATCAAATTCCCCAATTTTCAAATTAACTCTGAGTTGTTACTTAAGTGCAGTTCATTTTCCCATTGTAATTCATTTCCCCCCTGAGTGTTTTCTTGTTTAAAGTTCTCATGGATGAGGGCACTGTTGCCTGAGGTGGTAACGTGTGTGGCTCTGGTCCTTGGAAGTGTCACGTGCTTCATGAGCACTTTTACCCCCAAACACGGTTCAGGACACTCAACCATGTCCTCCCTGCGGCCTCTCATTGTGGACTGTCTGTCGGCTGTTGGGAGATGGGAGAGTTCCTGATGCCCGGGATCCATGTCATCCGCAGGGGTCTGTGGAACATGCCTGCCTGGCAACTCCCAACACCCGGGGGCTCAGAAGAGCGTCCCAAATGTACTTACGTTAGTTTCCAAATAGGAAGCTCCTTCCCGTTCCTCTCAGAGCGAGGAAGCCCTCATGGCACAGTGGGTTACATGGCAAGCTGCCACAGCAAGGTTGGTGTTCAAACCCACCAGCCGCTTGGCAGGAGGAAGCGGAGGCTGCCTGATCCTGTAAAGCTTCATAGCAGTGCTTCTCAAAGGGGAAAACCCACGTTGACGTTGTTTGGTGTGAGCTGACTGCCAACTCAGTAGAAGCTTCAACTTCTGGAGAAAGTGAAGGGGTCTAACTTTTAAACTGAAGGCCCAGTGGAGTGACCATGTGCGGTTTAACCTGAGAGCCACACTGGTCATCCTCACTGCTCTGCTGTGGAGACGCCACAGTGACCCTTCCTGTGCCCGGGCCTGGCACTGCTCCCCTGCCCCACCTCGCAGGCCAGCAGCTATGGCAGGGAGCACCTTGCAGCTGGGTGCAGGTGTGGGGAGACTGTCGCTTTGATGGTGTGGAATCCACACCCACAATAGTCATCAGTGCTGCGCAACCTGGGCCTCTGGGTGTGGGACCAGTGTGTGGACAATTGTAGACACGGTGTCAGACATGGCCACAGACTCAGCTAGATACAGACACAGCTAGACACAGCCAGGCTGCCTCCATCTGATGAGACACTTTCCTAAAAGGCTCCTTGTCTGGGATGTATTTAAATTCCTAATCAGAAAGGCTTTCCAATTTGGTACCACCAGGGATACTATGGCCCAAAGTGTAGCTAGCTAACTGAGTGGGCCCTGCCAGGGCAGGGCTGGGTGCCGGTGGTCAGCATGCTTTCTGGAACCCAACCTCCCTGGCCCAGGGGGTCGCCGTGGTACCTCGGTAGCCAGCCTTTGAAGCCGAACATTTACAGCTTCCTATTCCTTTTGTGAAATGATAATTAGTGATTTAAATTTTTCTCCTTTTTTCCTGAAGGTTTGCGGACCAGAAAGAGGGTCCGGAAGTAAGCTCGAAACTGCTCCTCCCCTCCCAGGCCCCTCCCTCCGCTGGACTGCCCTTTGTGCTGTTTAAGTGTCTCCTTTTCCTGTGAGTCTTATGAGGGGGCGGGGTGGGGTGTGACAATTAAATAGGTCTTTGAAAAGCATCTGTAAACTTTTTTTTTATTAAAATAAATACTCTGCCAGTTTGCTAATGGCTAATTTATAAAGCTTGGCAGTCTTCCGCCATCATCCTCTCCTGAACCTGTGGGGGTGAGGTTTCGGGCCCTGGCGGTTATGTTGTGGTGCCCACTGTTCTACACCCCGTGCACTCTGCTGTAAGAAGAACTTTGCCGGGTGCTGGTTTTGTTCAGGCAGCAGGAGCTACGGGTGAGGAAGGGCCACGGAGGTAAGCAGTGAGGTGAGTATTCCTGAGAGGCAGACACTGCACCTGGAAGAGTTGGACCACGTAAGGCTGCGTGTGCAGACAGTGGGACCAGAAAGCAGGTGGTGGGTTATTGAGTATGGACCGATTTCCTTTGAAGGGCCGTGGGGATGCAGTGGTTAAGTGCTGGCCTTCTAACCACAGGCAGCTCGGTTCAAGCCTGCCAGCTCCTCTGCTAGAGGAAGAGGAGGAGGTAGTCTGCCTCTGTGCGGGTGTCTGCCAAGGGAACCCGCCAGGCTCGCGGCGGGTCTTGACTGACCTGGGTGGCAGTAGGTTTTCATTTGAGGACTTCTCTGAACGAGATAGAGACGCTCACCTGGGGGCCAGTTACAGGAAGACACTTTCCTCATTCTTAGAGCATCTTCACCTTTTTTGAGGGCAATGAGGCATCATAGAACTTCAGAGGTGATGGATTTCAACACATGGAAGTGTTTTAATTGCATTGGGAACAAAAGCTTGGACTTTTGATGTATTTCTGTAAAATTCCAAGGTACATTCCTCAAATTTTACTTTGAGAGAATTTGGGGTTGGGCTTCGTTTCCTAGAGCCTGGGCCCCTTGCCCCATGTGGAGTGCACACTGTTCATAGGGGGTACAGCCACGTTTTCATTTGAACACTTAGGTATTTTGCATGTCTATTCAAAATCTAGCAACCACGGATTTATGTCTCAAGACTAGCCTAAGGTAGGTGTTTCCATTTTACAACAGTGAAGACATAAACCGTCAAGTAATGAGAATGCAGATGGCGCATGGGCACAAAGTTGTGCCAGGCTTAAGAGCCCAGAACCTGCGTAGATGCCGAAAGCTGGCTCTGAAGAGGCCCTCGTCCCTGTGGCCGAGGTCAGATGTGGACTCCCTTCACAGTCAGGCACTCAGACATGGTCTGAGCCTGGCTCCTCCCCGGGGAGCCAGCTGGGCAAGGCTGCCCCTGTTGTGGGGGCTGGTGGGACTCAGGGCTGGTCAGTGTTGTGCTCCCAGGCTTGTCTCTAAATCCACTCCCAAGTTCTGCTCCAAAGGCATCGACAGATGGATGGGATGAACCGTGTGTCAGATGACTGTCGGGGGTTCTGGTCTCTTCACTTCTGAGAACACAAACGCATAGCAAAGGTGGATGGCTGAACATCCCTTACCTGGTGTTTATGATGGGCACTGGCATTCTCTTGGAGGGCACCGTGGTGGGGGTGGGGGTGGGGGCGGGGGCTCATGGAGAACTGCTGGCCACAGTAGCCAGGTAGTCATGCCTCTTGTTTGGTTGAAGTCTCACTCTCTGACTCTCAGTCCTTCCTGCCCAGCTTACCTCTGCAATGGCTCAGCCAACCCATGTCCTTTCCAGCCTACACACTTGGCCTTGCCTTCCCCAGCTCTGTATCCCTAATCTTTATCTTGCGTTTTTCTCTTCTCCAATCCCGACAGGGAGTGGATTCGCCCATCTGTATTTTACCCAGCCACCCGGTCTCATCCTGCCCCCGTACTCCGTTGCACTGCCCCCTGCCGCGCCGTCTTTGATCCTCTGTGAGCTGGCACTTCGGGATCATTGAAAGTCAGCCACCGCGCCGGGCGCTTGTCTGTCCACACAGTGGGGGCTGCCTGTCAGCAGCCAGCTGAGTCCCAGGGTAAAACAGCTTCCAGGGGTTCTTCAGCGGGGCTCCCAGACAGACCCAGGCACTAATGGCCAGAGTGCTAACAGTTCTTAAAGTTACGAGCTGGAACGTGCATATGAAGACCCCAAAGTATTACAATGAAACGTGCAAGGAGTCTTCCCTTTCGGTTTTCTCACTCCAGGTCTTTGCACATTTCATTACTACAAAAACAAGGCCCCAGGAATTGATGGAAGCCCAATGGAAATGTTTCAACAAGTTCATGAAGTACTGGAAGCACTTCCTTGTCAATGCCTGGAAATTTGGAAGACAGCTACTCAGCAAACTGACTGGAAGAGATCCATATCTGTGCCCATTCTAAAAAGGTGATCCAATGGAAGGTTCAAGTTATAAAAAAATGTTGCTGTCACTTGCAAGTAAAATTTGTGGAAGATCAATGGTTACAGCAATATATTGATGGGGAAGGGGAAGGGGTTGGGGGTGGGGGAGGGCTGCCAGAGGTTCAGGAGAGCATGTGGAGCAAAGGTGTTAGGCCGGGTTGACTAGAGAAACAAATTCATAGACACTCCTGTATAAGAAAGCTTTATATAAAAGAGCAATTGTATATTGAGAAAACAGTCCAGTCCAGATCAAGGCCTTAAGTCCTATATTAGCCCATATGTCCGATAATGGTCCATCAATTCCTCTTCAGACTCACGCAACACATGCAATGATGCCGAATGCGGGAAGATCACAGGACAGTGGGTGGAAGGTCTTGTGGATCCAGTGGCGGTGGAAGCATCTCAGTGCTGGCACGGGTCTCCATGTGTCTCCTCCAGCTCTCTGAGTGTTTCCATAGCTGGAAAGGAAAGGCAGAGAGAATGTCCCACCTCCAGGGAGGAAGACAAGAATTCCCAGAATCCTCAGAAGGCTATGCCCACACAGATGGGTTATTGGCTATGACCTGATTGACAGGCTAGACTCCACCCCTTTGCTCAAGTTGACAGGAGATTGTGTAACTGCCACAAATGGCTTTTGGCTGAAAGCAGAGAATACCAGAAAGTGGTTACTTGTGTTTTATTGCGTGTGCCAATGAGTGAGGCTGTGTCTATCTTAACAAACTGGATACCCATCGAAAGGAACGGGAATTTCAGAACACTTCTATGTACTCAAGTAGAACTTGAACATGGATCAAGAGTTGATTGTGCAAATAGAACAAGGGCATACTGCACTGTCAGTCTGTGCTGGTCATCAGGAAGCTGGATTAAATGAAGAATGTGGCATTAGGATTGGCGGAAGTTTTATTAACCTGTGATAGGCTTGCTGAAAGTGAGGAGACTTGAAGCATTTGCTAATAAAAATCAAGGATTATAGCCTTCAGGATAGATTACATACAACTCCGTGTTAAAAAGACCAAAATCCTCACACCTGGGCCGGCCAATAGGTGACATCCTGATAAGCGGAGAAAAGGTTGCAGTTGTCCAGGATTTCGTCTTGCTTGGATCCACAATCAGTGCTCATGGAAGCAGCACTCAGGAGATTAAAGACTGCTTTGGGTAGACTGTTGCACAACTCTCTTTAGAGCCTTGAAAGGCAAGCATGTGGCTTTGGGGATAAAATGCGTCTGACCCAAGCCATGGTGGTTTTAGTTGGCCCATGTGCATGTGAACGTTGGGCACTGACTCAGGAGGACCCAAGAAGAACGGTGTGTTGGACTGTGCTGGAGAAGAAGATTAAGTACCGTGCACGGCTAAGAAGACTGGTCTTGGGAGCAGTGCAACCAGAGTCTCTTCAGAGGCATGGGTGGTGAAACGGCTTAGATGTTTGGGCATGTCAGAAGAGGCCAAGGAGAGCATGTTTGATTAAGTCAGCAGTTCTCAACCTGTGGGTCTCGACCCCTTTGGCTGTCGAACGACCCTTTCACGGGTTGCCTAAGACCATCGGAAAACACAAGTATTTCACAATATATAATTGCATGTTTTGTGGTGAATCACTATGCTTTATGTTTAATTATGTTCAATTTGTAACAAAATACATCCTGTGTATCAGATACCTACATTACAATTCATAACAGTAGCAAAATTAGAGTGATGAAGTAGCAACAACAATAATGTGGTTGAGGGGCCACCACCACAGGAGGAACTGCATTAAAGGGTGGCAGTGTTAGGAAGGTTGGGAACCGCTGGGTTGAGTAGGGGGTGGCCGCAAAGGCGAGAGGCCCTCTAGGAGGTGGACGGACCCCATGACTGCAGTAACGGCTTCAAGCGGGACAATGTAAGAAGGGCACAGGGCCGGGCAGTGTTTCAGTTTCTTACGTGGGTGGAGCTGTCTTTATGTCACCTAATGGCAATAAGAGCCACTAATACTATCGCAAAATTTTACCGAAGATAATTAAAAAACGATCGCAGGAGCACAATAACGGAAGGAGACGGATTGACAGTGCCTCAGCCATTGGTGGGTTCAGACGAGCGAGGTGTGGAACTGGGCGGTGCTTCACTCTGCTGTGCATGTGGTTGCTGTGAGTCAGAACTAACTTGGCACCAGACAGCACGGCATGAGGAGTGTAGACCCAGACAGCTGGCCAGGGCGCTCAGTGACCCCGGGACCATGGTGTCCCATTCCTGTGTAGCTTCATCACTGCCCTCAACACCCGTGCCACCAGTTTAATTGATGCTCCTTTATAAATTATTGCACAAACTGCTCTTGCAGACCAGGAAGAAGGGAAAATTCACATACAATCCCGCCACCCTACAAAAACCAAACAGCTCTGCTATCTCCTGTTTCACAAGCAACACGTTTTCAGTTGTGGCTGATGTAGAATTTAAGTCCCACAAGCTATTCTGACCCCGCTGGGCCCCGCCCCGCCATGACACTGCAGCCAGGAGCACTGCTGTGGTCCAGGCCACCCAGTCGGTGATCTGCAGTGTCCATCTCAGACCAGGTGCTCCCTCCCGTAGCTCTACTTGGTCACACCACTGAGACTCACCAAGCTGGTGTGCACCGCCCTGCCCCCTGGCATGTGCTGTTGGTGCAAAGGTGGCCTGGCTGAGGCTTACCAATGTCCTCTTGGTGCTCCGGGCCTCTGGCTGGTCAGTAGGCCTGCCTCAGTTGTGTGCTGGGAAGTGAATGTCCAAGTAGGAAGCCCTGCAGGCTCTTGGGCCCCTTAGAGGTGTGGGAGAGCCCAGTTGA